GAACCACCAGCCACCAGCCTGGCATTTGGGTGACAGCAGCAACCAGGAAATGTTTTAAACCAATTCTGAGCCTCAGTCCTATGCACCTTTGAGTCACACGTAAATACTTCTTCTTCTTCTTCTTCCTCTTCCTCTTCCTCCTCCTCCTCCTCCTCCTCCTCCTCCTCCTCCTCTTCTTCTTCTTCTTCTTCTTCTTCTTCTTCTTCTTTTTTTTTGCTTAAAACAGTTGCTTTAACATATGCATTCATAGCTGAGGAGAGTCCAGCCAAAACGATGGGTCTCAGAAGTCAAGACGATGTGGAGTTTGCATTAGAAGGCTTCTTAAGAACATGAAATCCCCCATTTTCATACTTCAGAAGTGGAGCGTACAGAGAAATATGTTACACGATTCTCATTGTGACAGCATTGCTGGCTTTTGATGAAAACCAATAGTGACCCCGTGTACAGCCTTCCTATTTTTTTTTCTATGAATATTATTGCTTGTGGGAAGGTGCATGCATTGCACAGGTGCATCCACTCCCACAAATATTTATTACAAAAATGGATGGTGGTGCTTAGGGTGCCTTGCACCCCACTGTTTTTGAATGGTTGTTGTTAGGATGTTCTAGGTAGGCACCTGTGGCTTCCGGGAACAGGTGGGATTCCCAGAACAGGGTCTTAACCTAACACTGTTCTTGCCTCCATTTCCTCTCTTCTAGTTGGATGCTTTCCTGAAGCCCAATGACCAAGAGTAAGGAAGTTTCAGCGGACAGTGGTCTGCGTCAGGCAGCCTTTTACCTCTCTGTTTTCCAAGCAAACTTATGTACATTGTTATTCTAGGTTAGGAAACTGGGGAAGGTTGTGGATACTTTTCAGTCCCTATTGTCTTTTAGGCTCCCACTAGGTTCTCAATAGTAAGGAAGAGCAAATTAAGGAAGACTCAACCAAGCACTCCTCTCAGATAAAGAGAAGGCTCTAGCTTCCTACAGGTTATGCCTGGGGGGCAAACTCATTTCAGAGGGAAAAGATGAACAGCCATTGCATCCAAAGACAGGTGGTTCGAGGGAAAAGTCCAGGTTAACTTCAACGAGGGCAAGCCATCTCCCTTTGTACTCCAGGACACGTAAATACTTCTTCTTCTTCTTCTTCTTCTTCTTCTTCTTCTTTTGCTTAAAACAGTTGCTTTAACATATGCATTCATAGCTGAGGAGAGTCTAGCCAAAACGATGGGTCTCAGAAGTCAAGATGATGTGGAGTTTGCATTAGAAGGCTTCTTAAGAACATGAAATCCCCCATTTTCATACTTCAGAAGTGGAGAAGTCCAGGTTTTTGTCTCTGAATAGTGTTGGGTTCTCACTTCACTAATATATTTCTCTTGGTTTTCCAAATATCTGCTTGTCCACAGTAACAGTGTCCTTATTTTCCACTAGGAAATCTTAGAGTCTCAGCAGTGACTCTCACTGAAATAAGGGCAGAAAACGCCAGTGCCATGGTGTGGAACTAGAGGGTTAGGGTGGAGATCCAAGGAAGCTGGAGAAGCCCATCAGACTGGGAGTGGAGCACGCTGCTGCGAGGCCGTCCACGGGCTGAGTGTCCAAGGGTCTGGGCAGACCTCTCGCGACTGGTTCAGCAGAGCCCAGGGGACTGGGAACTGAACAGTTAAACACAGATGGTCAGGACTGAAGTGCACCTGAAACAAATAAAATAGAGCAAATAGGGTCCACTGGCCAACACTCTGGGAAGGAAGGAAGAATAGGGAGATCATCTGACGCGGGCCTCACTCTAACAGGGAACCCACTGGTAAATGAGGAGTAAGTTTTGATGGTTAAATAACCTTTTGCCTTGTCAGTTCCCTCCAGGACCTTCCTTGAAAGCCAGGCATTTTCCTTCAGTTATTGGCATATTTGAGAGAAAGAAGGTTGTTTTTGTAAATTGTCTTCATTTTATTCTGACTTCCTGGAGTCTTCAAAGGCTCTCTGGGGGACTGCTGGCTTTCTGGGCCCTGAGAGGGTCTGCGACTAGGAGATGTTGTAACTGTGGAACCACCAACCACCAGCCTGGCATTTGGGTGACAGCAGCAACCAGGAAATGTTTTAAACCAATTCTGAGCCTCAGTCCTATGCACCTTTGAGTCTGGTCCATCGTGGGTGATCCAAGCTATGATTATCCACTGAAGACTTAGGTTTTCTTTGTCCTTTTTGGTGTCTATCTGAAGCACAGATGCTCACCACCTCCGCAGCTGTGAGCAGCCTGCCTCACTGGGGACAAAGGAGGTGGAGAAGTAGCCCTTTGTGGGGAGAGCTGGATAATTCCAGCCTGTTAGCTACTCACAGGAACATGCAGAATTATTGGCTCCAGGGAGTTTTGGAGAAAGAAGGTTTACGTTTTCAAACTTACAGATAACAGTTGACATCAATGCTTCTCTTTCCCAGAACAATCTGGAGTTTGCCAGAAAACTCTGTAAACAGGAGTCGCGCTGTGTGTGAACTGTAAACTTTTCTCTCTGGGCGTCGAGGGGACCTTCGCTTTACTTTGCAGCTGGGCTACATCAGACGTGTGCATTTAAAACACAAACTTCCTTAACTGGAAAAAGAATGCTTCTCTTCTTCAGAATAGCTCTGCTCTGTGACATTTTTGCCGTCATGAATTTTACATCAGTGCTAGCTCTTCGTTTTACGTGTTTCATTTGGCAGGTCACAAAGGCCCTTGGCTACCACACATGCATGCGTACACACACACACACTCATAAAGGATTTTCTTTTGTGCTTTACCTTTAATTTTCAGTCTACTTGGCTTGTAATGAAAGGTAGAACCTTATTTTTGAACTATATTCCAACAGAATCGAATTTCCTTTTTGCCAAGAAATATAAAACCCTGAGGTTTTAAAATTCGGTTTCTTTTCTGGGGATTTAACATGGAAGGATTTGGAGGGCAAATGGCCCAGTGATTGGAAAGGAGAAAAACAATTCATTTCATTTAAAATTATTCAATAACCGTTGCCAACATTTGGGATTCTGAGTGCTGTTTATGAAGCCCTTTCATTGATACAATTTCATCTATCTCTCACAATGCTGTAAGTGATTCCTATGTCCATATGGCAGTGAGGAAATGGAAATTCGAGCAGGTTTAGGGAGTTTTCACCTGGAAGGAAGCTCTTCCTTTTTCTCCTTCTACCCACAGTAGGTTCATCAAACTATCAGCCCCGGCACTGGGAGCAGAGTAACATGCATGTTCTCATTAATGTCCTTTTCTCATGTTGTTATTAAAGATATATGCAAGTTGCCAAAAGATGAAGGAACTTGCAGGGATTTCATATTAAAATGGTACTATGATCCAAACACCAAAAGCTGTGCAAGATTCTGGTATGGAGGTTGTGGTGGAAACGAAAACAAATTTGGATCACAGACAGAATGTGAAAAGGTTTGCGCTCCTGGTAAGTGATTCTTCCTTGTGTTTACGGCTTTTGCAAATAAGATAAGAAATTCAGGTCAATAAGTCACCTTGAAAAATAGTAGAAGTGCAATTATAATACATATGAAAAAGAAGATAAATTGTATCCTCAGGTAAGTAAGAGGTTCAAATACAACCCATGACATTTCTTTTTGAATTCCTATTTTGGGTTTCTAAAAACATACTTGTCCCTCGTCATTCTTCAGAAATGTTATTAAGTTGCTGTTATTTGTAAAATATTGCACCAAAAATGATTCCTGCGAAAATAATATAATGAACAGCTACAGATAACACCAAAGATCAATAACCCCCACAAATTTATCTTTAAATAATTTTACTTCCTATAAATAACAATGTTGTCACTGGGGCCATCCAGTATCTCCATTATATTGTGCAGTTCAACTGGTAATAAAATAAACACTTTGAACAGACCCTGGGGTCAGTGCCAGAATGGGGAGAGTTCAGTTCGTATAAAGGCCTGGTAGATGGTGCAGGGCAAAAGAATGGAATCAGATTTCACAGACATCCCCAGGCCCCAGGCCAACAAGGTCACAGAGGACCATTAATGGTACTGAGTAGAAAAGTGAGACAGGTGATGGAAACCAGAGGCTGCGGGACTGTGTCATGTAATGACAGTGCCCTTTTGGGTCAGTAATGTGGCTTTTCCTCTCCTCTCTCGACTCCTCACCTCACCCCACCCCACCGACCCCCTCACTCGACGCTCAGTGCTCGCCAAACCCGGAGTCATCAATGTGATGGGAACCTAAGCGTGGCTGGCCAACATCATATACCTCTTGAAGAAGAAGGAGTCAGCCGTCGCCAACTCGTCTCTGCAGAAGCTCCGGGTGTAGATTCCCTTGCACTGTATCATTTCATGCTTTGATTTACACTCGAACTGGGGAGGGAACATCCTGCTGCATGACCTATCAGTATGGTGCTAATGTGTCTGTGGACCCTCGCTCTCCGTCTCCAGGCAGTTCTCTCGAATACTTTGAATGTTGTGTAACAGTTAGCCACTGCTGGTGTTTATGTGAACATTCCTATCAATTCAAATTCCCTCTGGAGTTTCATGTTATGCCTGTTGCAGGCAAATGTAAAGTCTAGAAAACAACGCAGATGTCACGGCTACTCTATATACTTTTGCTTGGTTCATTTTTTTCCCTTTTAGTTAAGCATGACTTTAGATGGGAAGCCTGTGTATCGTGGAGAAACAAGAGACCAACTTTTTCATTCCCTGCCCCCAATTTCCTGGATTAGATTTCAAGCTAATTTTCTTTTTCTAAAGCCTCTAACAAATGATCTAGTTCAGAAGGAAGCAAAATCCCTTAATCTATGTGCACCATTGGGACCAATGCCTCAATTAAAGAATTAAAAAAAGTTGTAATAGAGAATATTTTTGGCATTCCTCTAATGTTGTGTGTGTGTGGTTTTTTTTTTGTGCAGGGGGGAGGGGATTTAATTTTAATTTTAAAATTTTTAGGAAATTTATACAAAGAAACTTTTTAATAAAGTATATTGAAAGTCTCCTGAGTGTGGCGTTCTTGGCTGTCTTGTTTCCATAGCAGCGATTGTCAGAATCACCCCTAGGCTGGGGAAACTGGGCTTGGTTCTGGTCCCATGGACCTGGGCAACACCCTTTTGTTTCCAGTGGAGGAGGCAAAAGAGCTTTATCAGCCAGTGTGCAAAGAGACTGGGCGGAGACAAGCATCCCCCGCTTTATCAGCCAGTGTGCAAAGAGACTGGGCGGAGACAAGCATCCCCCGCTTTATCAGCCAGTGTGCAAAGAGACCGGGCGGAGACAAGCATCCCCCGCTTTGTGAGCCAGTGTGCAAAGAGACCGGGTGGAGACAAGCATCCCCCGCTTTGTGAGCCAGTGTGCAAAGAGACTGGGCAGAGACAAGCATCCCCCGCTTTGTGAGCCAGTGTACAAAGAGACCGGGCGGAGACAAGCATCCCCCGCTTTGTGAGCCAGTGTGCAAAGAGACCGGGCGGAGACAAGCATCCCCCGCTTTGTGAGCCAGTGTGCAAAGAGACCGGGTGGAGACAAGCATCCCCCGCTTTGTGAGCCAGTGTGCAAAGAGACTGGGCGGAGACAAGCATCCCCCGCTTTGTGAGCCAGTGTGCAAAGAGACCGGGTGGCAGAGACAAGCATCCCCCGCTTTGTGAGCCAGTGTACAAAGAGACTGGGCAGAGACAAGCATCCCCCGCTTTGTGAGCCAGTGTACAAAGAGACCGGGCGGAGACAAGCATCCCCCGCTTTGTGAGCCAGTGTACAAAGAGACTGGGCGGAGACAAGCATCCCCCGCTTTGTGAGCCAGTGTGCAAAGAGACTGGGCGGAGACAAGCATCCCTCGCTTTGTGAGCCAGTGTGCAAAGAGACTGGGCGGAGACAAGCATCCCCCGCTTTGTGAGCCAGTGTACAAAGAGACCAGGTGGAGACAAGCATC